GGGGAAATAAATGGGGAAAATAAATGGGAAAAATGGGGGAAATGAATGGGGAAATAAATGGGGAAAATGGGGGAAATAAATGGGGGAAGAAATGGAGGAAATGGGAAATGGAAAAATGGGGGAAATAAATGGGGAAAATAAATGGGAAAAATGGGGGAAATGAATGGGGAAATAAATGGGGAAAATGGGGGAAATAAATGGGGGAAGAAATGGAGGAAATGGGAAATGGAAAAATGGGGGAAATAAATGGGGAAAATAAATGGGAAAAATGGGGAAAATAAATGGGGAAAAATGGGGAAATAAATGGGGAAATAAATGGGAAAAATGGGGGAAATAAATGGGGAAAATAAATGGGAAAAATGGGGGAAATAAATGGGGAAATAAATGGGGAAAAATGGGGGTTGGAGGGAAAATGGGGGGAAATAAATGGGGGGGAAAATAAATGGGGGGAAAATAAATGGGAAAAATAATTGGAAACATGGGGGGAAAATGGGGAAGGAATGGGAAACCTGGGGGAAAAAAAGGAAAAAACCTGGCAGTGTGATCCCAAACCTGGCAGTGTGATCCCAAACCTGATAGTGTGATCCCAAACCTGGCAGTGTGATCCCAGCCTGGCAGTGTGATCCCAAACCTGGCAGTGTGATCCCAAACCTGGCAGTGTGATCCCAAACCTGGCAGTGTGATCCCAAACCTGGCAGTGTGATCCCAAACCTGGCAGTGTGATCCCAAACCTGGCAGTGTGATCCCAAACCTGGCAGTGTGATCCCAAACCTGGCAGTGTGATCCCAAACCTGGCAGTGTGATCCCAAACCTGGCAGTGTGATCCCAAACCTGGCAGTGTGATCCCAAACCTGGCAGTGTGATCCCAAACCTGGCAGTGTGATCCCAAACCTGGCAGTGTGATCCCAAACCTGGCAGTGTGATCCCAAACCTGGCATCCCAGCTCTCCCAGTCGATCCCAGCGCCAGGCTCAGGAGGGCAGGGCTGGGCCCCGCCGTGCAAAGGTCGCGGGCAGGCAGCTCAGGTGTGTCCCGAGCCCTGAGCCAGGCCTGGCCTGAGTCACTGCCCCTTGGGCCTGGCCTAACTCCCTGCTGGGATTTCCCTGTCATGGCCTGGCTTAGGGCAAGCCCAGCACTCCCTGAAGGATCCTCCTGGCTCTGCTCTTCCCCCGCTCCTGCACAGCCAGTCCCAGTCCCAAATCCTGCACAGCCAGTCCCAAATTCTGCACAGACAGTCCCAAATCCTGCACAGCCAGTCCCAAATCCTGCACAGCCAGTCCCAGTCCCAAATCCTGCACAGCCAGTCCCAAATCCTGCACAGACAGTCCCAAATCCTGCACAGCCAGTCCCAAATCCTGCACAGTCAATCCTAATCCCAAATCCTGCACTCCCAATCCCAAATCCTGCACAGCCAGTCCCAAATCCTGCACTCCCAGTCCCAAATCCTGCACAGCCAGTCCCAATCCCAAATCCTGCACTCCCAGTCCCTGTTCCTGCACTCCCAGTCCCAAATCCTGCACAGCCAGTCCCAAATCCTGCACTCCCAATCCCAGTCCCAAATCCTGCACAGCCAGTCCCAAATCCTGCACTCCCAATCCCAAGTCCTGCACTCCCAATCCCAAATCCTGCACTCCCAATCCCAAATACTGCACAGACAATCCCAAAGCCTTCACAGACAATCCCAATCCCAAATCCTGCACAGTCAATCCTAATCCCAAATCCTGCACTCCCAATCCCAAATCCTGCACAGCCAGTCCCAAATCCTGCACTCCCAATCCCAAATCCTGCACAGCCAGTCCCAAATACTGCACAGACAATCCCAAGTCCTGCACTCCCAATCCCAAATCCTGCACTCCCAATCCCAAATCCTGCACTCCCAGTCCCTGTTCCTGCACTCCCAATCCCAAATCCTGCACAGCCAGTCCCAATACCAAATCCTGCACTCCCAATCCCAAATCCTGCACCCCCAATCCCAAATCCTGCACTCCCAATCCCAAATCCTGCACTCCCACTCCCAATCCCAAATCCTGCACTCCCAGTCCCTGTTCCTGCACTCCCAATCCCAAATCCTGCACCCCCAATCCCAAATCCTGCACAGACAATCCCAAATCCTGCACTCCCAAATCCTGCACTCCCAATCCCATTTGCCCTCCCCAAATGCTCCTGCTCCTGCTCCCCTGCCCCCGCACTCCCGCTAACCCAACCATTTCTCCTTTTTCCAGCAAAAATACTTCGATTCTGGCGACTACAACATGGCCAAGGCCAAGATGAAGAACAAGCAGCTGCCGAGTGCAGGGCCTGACAAGAACCTGGTGACAGGAGACCACATCCCCACGCCCCAGGACCTGCCCCAGAGGAAATCCTCGCTGGTCACCAGCAAGCTGGCAGGGTAGCTGCGCTCCCAGCCGGGGGCTGCCCTCTTTTTCTCTCTTTTTTTGGGCTAAAGGGATTGAATTCGCTGTACCGTAGGGGTGGGAGCAGCAGAACCCACGTGGTGGTTTGAGTCTTTGCAGCAAGCACACCCCAGAGCTGCTGGGGGGCAGGGCTGGCTTGGCCCTTCCTCTCTCAGAGGCTTTGCCTTAATTTTGCTGCTCTTTGGAGCCGTCCTGGCTCACAGTGGCTGGGAGAGCTCCAGAAGAACCATCCTGGAATCATCCTAGAACCATCCTGGAGCTATCCTGGAGACATCCTGGAGACATCCTGGAACCATCCTAGAACCATCCTGGCTCACAGTGGCTGGGAGAGCCCTGGAAGAACCATCCTGGAGACATCCTGGCACCATCCTGGAGCTGTCCTGGCACCATCCAGGTTCACAGATGGAGCTCTGCCTCTTTCCTGGTTGGGAGAACTCCAGAAGAACCATCCTGGAACCATCCTGGAGACATCCTGCAGCCATCCTGGCAACATCCTGGCTCACAGATGGAGCTCTGCCTCCTTCTTGGCTGGGAGAGCCCCAGAAAAACCATCCTGGAGACATCCTGGAGCCATCCTGGAGCCGTCCTGGAGCTGTCCTGGAGCTGTCCTGGCTCACAGATGGAGCTCTGCCTCTTTCCTGGCTGGGAGAAGTCCAGAAGAACCATCCTGGAATCATCCTGGAGACATCCTGGAATCATCCTGGCACCATCCTGGAGCTGTCCTGGGACCATCCTGGCTCACAGGTGGAGCTCTGCCTCCTTGATGGCTGGGAGAACTCCAGAAGAACCATCCTGGAATCATCCTGGAGACATCCTGGAATCATCCTGGCACCATCCTGGAGACATCCTGGCTCACAGGTGGAGCTCTGCCTCCTTGATGGCTGGGAGAACTCCAGAAGAACCATCCTGGAATCATCCTGGCACCATCCTGGAGCTGTCCTGGGACCATCCTGGCTCACAGGTGGAGCTCTGCCTCCTTGCTGGCTGGGAGAGCCCCCGAGGAGCAGAGGGGGCTCGGGGGAGGCACCTGGAGGAGAGCAGAGGGCAGGGCTGGGGGGTGGGAAGGGATTTCAGGGCTTGGGGTCACAGAGACTGGGGCAGCTGGGCAGGAGAGTGATCCTAGATCTCACAGGTGTGATCCCAGATCTGGAAATTGTCATCTCAGACCTGGAAATTGCTATCCCTGATCTGGCAGGTGTGATCCCAGATCTGAAAATAGTGATCCCAGATGTGGAAAGTGATCCCAGATGTCACAGGTGTGATCCCAGACCTGGAAATTGTGATCCCACATCTGAAAAGTGATCCCTCATCTGGCAGGCGTGATCCCAGATACGGAAAGTGTGATCTCAGATCTGGAAAGAGTGATCTCAGGTTTGGAAATTGTGGTCCCTGACCTGTCAGGTGTGATCCCAGATCTGAAAATAGTGATCCCAAGTCTGGCAGGTGTGATCCCAGATCTGGAGAGTGGGATCTCAGACCTGGAAATTGTGATCCCACATCTGAAAAGTGATCCCTGATCTGGCAGGTGTGATCCCAGATACGGAAAGTGTGATCTCAGATCTGGAAAGAGTGATCTCAGGTTTGGAAATTGTGGTCCCTGATCTGGAAATTGTGATTCTAGGTTTGGAAAGTGTGATCCCAGCTCTCACAGGTGTGATCCCTGATTGGAAATTGTGATCCCAGATCTGAAATGGTGACCCCAGCTCTCACAGGTGTGATCCCAAATCTGAGATTGTGACCCCAGCTCTCACAGGTGTGATCCCTGATCTGAAAATAGTGATCCCAGATTTGGAAAGTGGGATCCCAGCTGTCACAGGTGTGATCCCTGATCTGAAATTGTGATCCCTGATCTGAAATTTTGATCCCAGCTCTCACAGGTGTGATCCCTGATCTGAAATTGTGATCCCTGATCTGAGATTGTGATCCCAGATCTGAAATGGTGACCCCAGCTCTCACAGGTGTGATCCCTGATCTAAAGTCGTGACCCCAGCTGTCACAGGTGTGATCCCAGATCTGAAATGGTGACCCCAGCTGTCACAGGTGTAACCCCAGCTGTCACAGGTGTGACCCCAGCTCTCACAGGTGTGATCCCAGCTCTCACAGGTGTGATCCCTGATCTGAAGTTGTGACCCCAGATCTGAAATGGTGACCCCAGCTCTCACAGGTGTGATCCCTGATCTAAAGTTGGGACCCCAGCTGTCACAGGTGTGGCCCCAGCTCTGCAGGCATGCTCAGGTGTGTGCTTTAGAGCTTCAAAGTGCTGACATTGGCTGAGATGAAACAAATTCCAGGTCTGAGGTGCTGTTGGGCCGAGCTGCCTGGGATGTGTCCCTGGCTCAGCTCACAGGGCACAGCGTGTCCAGAGGGGTGGGACAGGCTGGGCAGTGTGTGAAACACCTTTGGGTGCTTTGGGGGCAGAGCCCCACCTCAGCTGGGGGAGCTTGGCCAGGGGGACAAAACCAGAGGGGCTTGGCCAGAAGGACACAACCAGAAGGATTTGGCTGAGCTTGACCAGAGGGATAAAACCAGAAAGACTTGACTGAATTTGGCCAGAGGGGAAAAAACAGAAGGGCTTGGCTGAGCTTGACCAGAGGGAAAAAACCAGAAGGATTTGGCTGAGCTTGACCAGAGGAGCTTGGCTGAATTTAACCAGAGGGAAAAAACCAGAAGGGCTTGGCTTAATTTGGTCAGAGGGATAAAACCAGAAAGACTTAGACTGAATTTGGCCAGAGGGACAGAACCAGAAGGATTTGGCTGAGCTTGACCAGAGGGATAAAACCAGAAGGGCTTGGCTGAATTTGGCCAGAGGTGTTTGACTGAATTTGGCCAGAGGGACACAGCCAGAGGGACAAAAACAGAGGGGCTTGGCCAGAAGGACACACCAGAGGGGTTTGGCTGAGCTTGACCAGAGGGGTTTGGCTGGATTTGATCAGAAGGACACAAGCAGAAGGGCTTGGCTGAATTTGGTCAGAGGGATAAAACCAGAAAGACTTAGACTGAATTTGGCCAGAGGGACACACCAGAAGGATTTGGCTGAGTTTGTCCAGAGGGGTTTGGCTGGATTTGGCCAGAAGGACACAACCAGAAGGGTTTGGCTGGGTTTGATCACAAGGACAGAACCAGAGGGACTTGGCTGAGCTTGGCCAGAGGGACACAGCCAGAGGGACAAAAACAGAGGGGCTTGGCCACAAGGACATAAGCAGAGGGGTTTGGCTGGATTTGATCACAAGGACACAGCCAGAAGGATTTGTCTGGGTTTGACCAGAGGAGTTTGGCTGGGTTTGATCAGAAGGACAGAACCAGAAGGGTTTGACTGGATTTGATCACAAGGACACAACCAGAAGGATTTGGCTGGGTTTGATCAGAGGAGTTTGGCTGGATTTGATCAGAAGGACACACCAGAGGGGTTTGTCTGGGTTTGACCCGAGGGGTTTGGCTGGATTTGGCCAGAGGAGCTTGGCTGGATTTGGCCAGAAGGACACGAAGCAGAAGGGTTTGGCTGGGTTTGATCACAAGGACACATCAGAAGGATTTGGCTGGGTTTGCCCAGAGGGGCTTGGCTGGGTTTGATCACAAGGACACATCAGAAGGATTTGGCTGGGTTTGCCCAGAGGGGCTTGGCTGGGTTTGATCACAAGGACACATCAGAAGGATTTGGCTGGGTTTGATCAGAGGAGTTTGGCTGGATTTGATCACAAGGACACACCAGAAGGATTTGGCTGAGTTTGATCAGAAGGACACAACCAGAGGGGTTTGTCTGGGTTTGCCCAGAGGGGTTTGGCTGTGTTTGGCTGGGTTTGATCAGAAGGACACACCAGAAGGATTTGGCTGGGTTTGGCAGGAGGGGTTTGGCTGGGTTTGGCCAGAGGGGGTTGGGTGGGTTTGCCCAGAGGGGTTTGGGTGGGTTTGCCCAGAGGGGTTTGGGTGGGTTTGCCCGGAGGGGTTTGGCTGGGTTTGGCCGGGGTGGCTCAGCTGCCTCGAGGCCCGGGGCAGTTTGTCTGTCCCTGGTGCCCTGTGGCACAGCTGGGAGCTGAAGGCAGCAGGAGGAGCTGGGCCCTGCAGAGCCCTGCCCAGCCCAGCCCTGGCTCTCACCCTGCAGCAGGCAGCCAGGGATGGGTGCTGCTGGCACTGGTCCTGGGGTGAGGGACGGGCAGGACCCACCAGGAAGGGATGAAAAGCACCCGGGACAGGCTGGGGTGGGAGGGGGCCGGGGCAAAGCTGTGCTCTGAGAGTGCTGGGCGTCCAAGCTTTGATCTCTTTCTTTTCCTATTTGTTTTCCCTTCTTGTTTTTGTTTTGTCTCAAACCTGGGGGGAAAAAAAACCCCAAAACTCACAAATTAACACCAACACCACAACAAAAAAATCCCCAAACCTTTAAAACCTGCAGGGCCATGGCTGGGGGTGGCACTGTGCCCTCCTGGTGCCACTTTTCCCTGCACTGGGCACAGCTGTGCCAGGGCATCCCAGACTTTGATCTCTTTTTTTTCCCCATTGTTTTCCCTTCTTGTTTTTGTTTTGTCTCAAACCTGGGGGGGAAAAATAACAAAACCCCCAAATTAAAACAAACATCACAACAACAAAAATCCCCAAACCTTAGAAGCTGCAGAGCCATGGCTGGGGGTGGCACTGTGCCCTCCTGGTGCCACCTTTCCCTGCAGTGGGCACAGCTGTGCCCCAGAGCTGCCCCAGGAGCCAGAGGAGGGGCAGGAGTGAGGGATGCCCGGGCTGGGTTTTCCTCCTCCTGCACCTTCCTGCTGAGCCGGGCGTGCCCCGGGCACTCTGTGTGTCACCTGTGCCACCTGTGTCACCTGTGTCACCTGTGCCACCTGTGCCACTTGTTTACCCAGGGCGTGCTGGAATTTTGTGTGCCCCGAGGATGAAGCAGCCCCGGGGAGGGGACAAGGGCTCAGGAGGGGCTGGGGGCTGTCCTTGTCCCCTCAGGGTCCTGCCCGTGTCACCTGGCTGGGACAGTGGTGTCCTGCTGTCCGTCCCAGCCACGCTGTAAATAGGTGACAAATAGCTATTAAAAACAAAAAAAAAAAAAAGAATTAAATATATATATATATAATTTTTTTACATGTTCAGTAAAAAGGTGAAAAATAGATATTAAAAACAAAAAAAAAAAAAAGAATTAAATATATATATATATAATTTTTTTACATGTTCAGCTCTTCTGGATCGCTGTGTTTGGTTTTTATTGGACGCCAAAAAAAGGGGAAGTGAGACCCCAAAAGAGGAAATAAAGGGAGAGGTGCAAAGGGGCATTGCTGCTGTGGGGCTGTCCCTGTGCGGGGGGGGACAGGGAGGGGACACCCCCAGGGGTGGGGGGGACACCCCCAAATGTAGGGGGACAGCCCTGAATGTGGGGGGACAGCCCTGAATGTGGGGGGACACCCCCGAATGTGGGGGGACAGCCCTGAATGTGGGGGGACAGCCCTAAATGTGGGGGGACAGCCCTGAATGTGGGGGGACAGCCCTGAATGTGGGGGGACACAGGGAGGGGACACCCCCAGGGGTGGGGGGACACCCCCGAATGTGGGGGGACAGCCCTGAATGTGGGGGGACACCCCCGAATGTGGGGGGACAGCCCTAAATGTGGGGGGACACCCCTGAATGTGGGGGGACAGCCCTGAATGTGGGGGGACAGCCCTAAATGTGGGGGGACACCCCTGAATGTGGGGGGACAGCCCCCAAAGGTGTGGGGACACCCCTGAATGTGTGGGGACTCAGGGAGGGGACAGCCCCAGGGGTGGGGGGACACCCCCGAATGTGGGGGGACAGCCCTGAATGTGGGGGGACACCCCTGAATGTGGGGGGACGCCCTTAAACACGTGGGGACACCCCCAAATGTGTGGGGACACCCCTTAAACATGTGGGGACAGCCCTTAAATGTGTGGGGACACCCCCAAACATGTGGGGACACCCCCCAACATGTGGGGACACCCCCCAAATGTGGGGGGACAGCCCCTAAAGGTGTGGGGACACCCTCAAACATGTGGGGACACCCCTTAAACGTGTGGGGACACCCCCCAAATGTGTGGGGACACCCCCTAAATTTGAGGGGGCACCCCCTAAATGTGGGGAGACACCCCTTAAACGTGTGGGGACACTCCCGAAATATATGGGGACACCCCTAAACATGTGGGGACATCCCCCAAATGTGGGGGGACAGCCCCTAAATGTGTGGGACACCCCCCAAGTGTTTGGCACCGTGGCAGGGGGTTCCTCCATGCCACCCCCCAGAGCTGGGTGGGCACTGAGGGGGGCAGGGGGGTGATGCTGGCACCCCCTGCCCCCCCCCTCGTGCTGCTGCCTGGCTTGGGGGTCTCTATTGTGGGGGTCTCCCTTGTGGGGGTCTCCCATTTTTGGCGGGTCTCCCATTGTGGGGGGGTCTCCTATTGTTGGGGTCTCCATTGGGGGGGTCTCCCACTGTTGGGGTCTCCATTGTGGGGGTCTCCCTTGTGGGGTCTCCCGTTTTTGGGGGGTCTCCCATTGTTGGGGTCTCCATTGTTGGGGTCTCCATTGGGGGGGTCTCCCATTTTTGGGGGGTTTCCCATTTTTGGGGGGTTCCCCATTGTGGGGGGGTCTCCTATTGTGGGGGGGTCTCCTATTGTTGGGGTCTCCATTGGGGGGTCTCCCATTTTTGGGGGGTTTCCCATTTTTGGGGGGTTCCCCATTTTTGGGGTCTCCACTGTGCCACCCTGGCTCACAGCAGGGACTGGCAGGGTTTTACCAACACAAATCTTTGCTCCAGCTGCAGAAAACTTCCACATTGTCCACCTCTGTGCCCAGTGCCACCTCTGTGTCCCCAGTGCCACCCTCAGCTCTCTCCAGGCTCACTCTGTCCCCAGTGCCACCTCTGTGCCCCCAGTGCCCCCTGTCCCCAGTGCCACCTGTGTCCCACCTGTCCCCAGTGCCCCCTCAGCTCTCCCGGCTCTGTCCCCACCCGTGCCATTTCCAGCCGGGCGCGTCCCCGGCCCGGGGCTCTCCGGCTCCCCGGCACCGGGAATTCCCGAGGCCCCGGGGCCCTGCGGGGACAGGCAGGGACGCGCTGTCCCGCTCGTGTTTGTCCCCGAGCTCGGCGCTGCCGGGGCTCCGTGTCCCCGCTCCGCTGCCAAGAATTCTCCTCCCGGCAAGGACGCGTTCCTCGGGGCCGCGGGAAGGATTTTGGGAGGGACGGATCCCCCCAGGCAGCCCTGCTCCGGGGGGGGCACGGGACCCCCGGGGGATGGAATCCCCCGGGATTGCTGGTTTGGAGGGGAGGGGGCTGCGCCCACCGCGGCTCCGAACGGCGCAGGGGGCTGGGGCTCTCCCCAAAAATGTGGGGACAGGGAGGGGACAGCTCCAAACTGAGCACACAGGGCTGGGACCGGGCACGGACTGTCCCCAAAAATGAGGGGACGGGGAGGGGACAGCTCCAAACTGAGCACAGTGATGGTGACAGAGGCTTGGATTGGTCTCAGTTTGTCCCCAAAAATGTGGGGACGGGGAGGGGACAGCCGGGAGGGCTGGGACCGGGCACGGATTGTCCCCAAAAATGTGGGGACAGGGAGGGGACAGCTCCAAACTGAGCACACAGGGCCGGGATTGATCTCAGTTTGTCCCCAAAAATGTGGGGACAGGGAGGGGACAGCGCAGAGGGCTGGGACTGGGCACGGATTGTCCCCAAAAATGTGGGGACAGGGAGGGGACAGCTCCAAACTGAGCACAGTGATGGTGACAGAGGCTTGGATTGGTCTCAGTTTGTCCCCAAAAATGTGGGGACAGGGAGGGGACAGCTCCGAACAGAGCGCAGAGGGCTGGGATTGGAAACAGATTGTCCCCAAAAATGTGGGGGCAGGGAGGGGACAGCTCCAAACTGAGCACAGTGATGTTCAGTGGCCTTGGATTTGTCACGGTTTGTCCCCAAAAATGTGGGGACAGGGAGGGGACAGCTCCGAACAGAGCGCAGAGGGCTGGGATTGGAAACAGATTGTCCCCAAAAATGTGGGGACAGGGAGGGGACAGCTCCGAACAGAGCGCAGAGAGCTGGGATTGGAAACAGATTGTCCCCAAAAATGTGGGGACAGGGAGGGGACAGCTCCGAACAGAGCACAGTGATGCTCAGGATGCTTGAATTGGTCAGTTTGTCCCCAAAAATGGTGCCCGGGGACACGGCACCTTCAAAGATAGCACAGTGAGCTTGGATTTGTCACGGATTGTCCCCAAAAATGTGGGGACAGCTCTCAGTGCCTCCCGGGAGCAGGAGGAGCTGTTTCCTCCCAGCATTTTCCTTTTCATCCCCGAGGCACTGGGATCTCCTGTCCCCAAACCCCACTGGGATATAGAATATCTATTTCTTCTTCTGTATAAAAATACAGAATATCTATTTCTTCTCCTATACAGAAATATAAAATATCTTTCTTCTATATAGAAACATAGAAGACATATTTCTTCTACATAAAAATATAGAAGACATATTTCTTCTTCTATATAAAAATATAGAATATATATTTCTTCTATATAAAAATACAGAATATCTATTTCTTCTATATAAAGATATAGAATATATATTTCTTCTATATAGAAATATAGAATATCTATTTCTTCTATATAAAGATATAGAATATATAATTCTTCTATATAAAAATATTCTTCTATATATTCTTCTATATTTATTCTTCTATATATCTATTTATTCTTCTATATAATATTTATTATTCTATCTATTTATTCTTCTATATAAAAATATCTATATATTCTTCTATAATTATATATAGAATATATAATTATCCTGGGAATGGACCGGGAATATGGACCGGGAATTAACCGGGAAGGGACCGGGGATATGGACCGGGAAGGGATCGGGATTGGACCGGGGATATGGACCGGGAAGGGATCGGGATTGGACCGGGATTGGACCGGGAAGGGACCGGGAACGAACCGGGAATGGACCGGGCGGCTCCGGCAGGGCACGGGACCCAGGCGGCCGGTGCCACGAGGATGCCCCGCGCTGCCGGGGGGGCTCAGCCCGGGGGTCCCATCCCCGCCGCGCCCGGGGCGATGCGGGAACGGCAGGCACCGGCACGGCACCACCGGGGAGCCGCTGCCCGGCACCGGGAGCAGCGGGGAGCCGGGCTCGGGGCACGGCGGGCACGGCAGATCGCCCCCTCCCCTCTGGCTGGGCAGCCGCGCGAACGGAAGCGGAGGCGGAGGCGGAGGAGCGCCGCTCGCCGTCCCGCCCCCGCCCCGCCTCCCCGGCGTCACCGCCGCCGGTTATATAACCCGGCCGCGCCGGTCCCGCCCGCACCCCGCCGGCCGCTCGCACCGGGCGCCATGTTCGCCGTGAAGCCGAAAGCCGTCGTCGGCTTCAACCTGTTGTGCGGCGGCTCCCCGGCGGGGCTGGGGCGCGGCTTTGGCTCGGAAAGGGTTAAATGAAAGCGGTTGGGAAGCGCTGAGAAACGAAAGTGAACTTTGTTCCGCGGGGCGGAGGAGGAGAAGCCGCCGGTGCTGCTGTGTGCGGAGGAGATAACCTGGTTACAGATTAGCCCCGGCTCCTCCCGCGGCCCCCACCGGCGGATCGTCCCGGGCGGGCAGAGCCCGGCGAGCTCCGGAGCCTCGGCCCCGTTCCGGGCCACGGGGGGTTACTGGGGGAGTTCTTCTGGGTGACGTGCTCATACAGCCGTGGAAGGGTTCGGGTTGAAACAGACCCAAAAACTCATCCAGCCCCACGAGCCAGGACATTTTCCACCATCCCAGGCCTGTCCAAGCTGGCCTTGGGCACCTCCAGGGATCCAGGGCAGCCACAGCTTCCCTGGGAAATCTGTTTTTATGTATATAAAGTGTCCAAAGATTAGTTAGCTCGGGATTTTCAGCCTGCCCAGTTTAAGTGCAAGGGGGTTTTTGGTGGGGGAATTCTTCTGGGTAATGTTTTCATAGAGCCATGGAGGGGTTTGGATTGAAACAGACCCAAAAACTCATCCAGCCCCATGAGCAAGGACATTTTCCACCATCCCAGCCCTGTTCAGCCTGGCCTTGGGCACCTCCAGGGATCCAGGGCAGCCACAGCTGCTCTGGGAAATCTGTTTGCATGTATATAAAGTGTCCAAAGGTTAGTTAACTCGGGATTTTCAGCCTGCCCAGTTCAGGTGCAAGGGGATTTTTAATGGGGGAATTCTTCTGGGTGATGTGCTCATACAACCATGCAATGGTTTGGGTTGAAATAGATTTTAAAACTCCTCCAGTCCCAAAAGCAAGGGCATTTTCCACCATCCCCAGGGTGCTCCAAGCCCTGCCCAGCACTGCCAGGGATCCAGGGCAGTCCCAGCTGCCCTGAGAAATCTGGTTTTTATGTATTTAATCCAAAGATTGGTGAGCTCAGGAGTTTCAGATCCTCACTGTGTCCCAGTTTAGGTGCAAGGGGATTTTTGGTGGGGGGAATTCTTCTGGCTGATGTGCTCACAGAGCCATGGAAGGGTTTGGGTTGAAATAGATTTTAAAACTCCTCCAGTCCTACGAGCAACGACACTCTCCACCATCCCAGGGTGCTCCAACCCCTGCCCAGCACTGCCAGGGATCCAGGGCAGCCCCAGCTGCTCTGGGAAATCTGTTTGCATGTATTTAAAGTATCCAAATATTAGTTAGCTCGGGATTTTCCGCTTGCCCAGTTCAGGTGCAAGGGGATTTTTGGTGGGGGGAATTCTTCTGGCTGATGTGCTCACAGAGCCATGGAAGGGTTTGGGTTGAAATAGATTTTAAAACTCCTCCAGTCCTACGAGCAACGACATTCTCCACCATCCCAGGGTGCTCCAACCTGTCCAGCCTGGCCCTGGGCACTGCCAGGGGCAGCCCCAGCTGCTCTGGGAAATCTGTTTGCATGTATTTAAAGTATCCAAATATTAGTTAGCTCGGGATTTTCAGCTTGCCCAGTTCAGGTGCAAGGGGATTTTTGGTGGGGGGAATTCTTCTGGCTGATGTGCTCACAGAGCCATGGAAGGGTTTGGGTTGAAATAGATTTTAAAACTCATCCAGTGCCATGGCAGGGACCCCTTCCACCATCCCAGGGTGCTCCAAACAAGCCCTGGGCACCTCCAGGGATCCCAGATTTCTCTGGAAAAATCCATTTTCATGCATTTCCCCCCCTTGTGCAGGGCTGGGGTTGAGCTGGGAATGGGAAGTGACGGCTTGGAGCTGGGTTTGAGTCAGCTGGGCTGGGCTGGGCCGGGCTCAGAGCGGGCAGGCAGAGCCAGCAGGGCCTGGGGTGCCTGCAGCACTTTTGGGGTGCCTGCAGCACTTCTGGGGTGCCTGGGGGGTGTCGAGCTGCACATGCCTGGGGGGTGTCAGGGTGAAGGTTCCTGCAGCAGTTTTGGGGTTCTGGGGGGGGGTTTAGGGTGTAGGTTCCTCTAGCAGTTTTGGGGTTTTAGAGTGCAGTTTCTTGTAGCAGTTTTGGGGCTCCTGGGAGGTTTTAGGGTGTAGGTTCCTCTAACAGTTTTGGGGTTTTAGGGTGCAGGTCCCTACAGCACTTTTGGGGTGCCTGGGGGGTGTCGAGCTGCACATGCCTGGGGAGTGTCAGGGTGAAGGTTCCTGTAGCAGTTTTGGGGTTTTAGGGTGCAGTTTCTTGTAGCAGTTTTGGGGTTCCTGGGGGGTTTTGGGATGCAGGTTTCTGGAGCAGTTTTGGGGCACCTGCAGGAGTTTTGGGGTTCCTGGGGGGGGGGGTTAGGATGCAGGTTCCTGCAGGAATTTTGGGGCTCCTGCGAGGTTTTAGGGTGTAGGTTTCTCTAGCGGTTTTGGGGTTTTAGGGTGCAGGTTCCTGCAGCAGTTTTGGGGCACCTGCAGGAGTTTTGGGGTTCCTGGGAGGGTTTTAGGATACAGGTTCCTGTAGCTGTTTTGGGGTTTTAGGGTGCAGTTTCTTGTAGCAGTTTTGGGGCTCCTGCGAGGTTTTAGGGTGTAGGTTTCTCTAGCGGTTTTGGGGTTTTAGGGTGCAGGTTCCTGTAGCAGTTTTGGGGTCCCTGCAGCAGTTTTGGGGTTCCTGGGGGGGTTTTAGGATACAGGTTGGGCTGGGCCGGGCTCAGAGCGGGCAGGCAGAGCCAGCAGGGCCTGGGGTGCCTGCAGCACTTTTGGGGTGCCTGCAGCACTTCTGGGGTGCCTGGGGGGTGTCGAGCTGCACATGCCTGGGGGGTGTCAGGGTGAAGGTTCCTGCAGCAGTTTTGGGGTTCTGGGGGGGGGTTTAGGGTGTAGGTTCCTCTAGCAGTTTTGGGGTTTTAGAGTGCAGTTTCTTGTAGCAGTTTTGGGGCTCCTGGGAGGTTTTAGGGTGTAGGTTCCTCTAACAGTTTTGGGGTTTTAGGGTGCAGGTCCCTACAGCACTTTTGGGGTGCCTGGGGGGTGTCGAGCTGCACATGCCTGGGGAGTGTCAGGGTGAAGGTTCCTGTAGCAGTTTTGGGGTTCCTGGGAGGGTTTTAGGATGCAGGTTCCTGCAGCAATTTTGGGGTTTTAGGGTGCAGTTTCTTGCAGCAGTTTTGGGGTCCCTGCAGGAGTTTTGGGGCTCCTGTGAGGTTTTAGGGTGTAGGTTTCTCTAGCAGTTTTGGGGTTTTAGGGTGCAGTTTCTTGTAGGAGTTTTGGGGTTCCTGGGGGGGTTTTAGGATGCAGGTTTCTAGAGCAGTTTTGGGGTCCCTGCAGCAGTTTTGGGGTGCCCGGGAGGTGTCAGGGTGCTGTCTGGTGGAACACCCCCCTCCTTGCAGGAGGATGTGCCGTTTCCTCAGCTCGTCCCTTTTTTTGGCTCCTTCCTTTTTTTGTTTGCTGAGCACAAAGAGCTTCGGTTTCATCCTGAGCCGTGCTGCTGGGAAAGGAGAGGGGTCAGGGGATCAGTTCCTGGCCCCAATTCCCAGAGGGATCTCTGGGATCAGTTCCTGTTCCCTGTTCCCAGGGGGATCTCTGGGATCACTGGGATCAGTTCCTGTTCCCAGCTCCCACTGGGATCACTGGGATCATTTCTTATCCCCAATTCCCAGGGGGATCAGGGGATCAGTTCCTGGCCCCAATTCCCAGAGGGATCTCTGGGATCAGTTCCTGTTCCCAGCTCCCACTGGGATCACTGGGAAAGGCAGTGGGAAGGAGAGGGGTCAGGGGATCAGTTCCTGGCCCCAATTCCCAGAGGGATCTCTGGGATCAGTTCCTGTTCCCTGTTCCCAGGGGGATCAGGGGATCAGTTCCTGGTCCCAATTCCCAGGGGGGTCTCTGGGATCAGTTCCTGTTCCCAGCTCCCACTGGGATCTCTGGGATAATTTCTTATCCCCAATTCCCAGGGGGATCAGGGGATCAGTTCCTGGTCCCAGTTCCCAGAGGGATCTCTGGGATCAGTTCCTGTTCCCAGCTCCCACTGGGATCACTGGGAAAGGCAGTGGGATCAATGGGATCACTGGGATCATTTCTTATCCCCAATTCCCAGAGGGATCTCTGGGATCAGTTCCTGTTCCCTGTTCCCAGGGGGATCACTGGGATCACTGGGATCAGTTCCTGGCCCCAGCTCCCACTGGGATCTCTGGGATCATTTCTTATCCCCAATTCCCAGGGGGATCAGGGGATCAGTTCCTGGTCCCAATTCCCAGAGGGATCTCTGGGATCAGTTCCTGTTCCCAGCTCCCACTGGGATCACTGGGAAAGGCAGTGGGATCAATGGGATCACTGGGATCATTTCTTATCCCCAATTCCCACTGGGATCACTCGGATCCTTCCTGTCCCCAATGTTCTGCCCCGTTCTGACCCTTTCTAAAGCCCGGGCTCCTTTGCTGCTCCTTGGCAGGGCACTGGAGGTCGAGCTGGGGGTGCTGCTCTGCCAGGCAGACTTCAAATAAATTAAATTTAATTTAAAAATTGCTTAAAATTAAAATTTTTAATTTATATGAATTTTAATTTTAAATTATTTTATGCTATTTAGAAATAATTCAAATTATTTTAAATTTATTTTATGATTTAAATTATTTCATGAATTTAAATGATTTTTATTGTATTTTAATTTAAATTATTTATAATTATCTTAAAGTAATGTAAATTGTGTTTAATTTAAATTATTTTATTTGATGTAAATTATTTTATTAATTTTTATTTAAATTTACATTATTTAAAAACATTATTTTTTAATTTAACTTTTAATTCATAAAATAATTTAAATAATATTTTAAATTTATATTTAAATTTAAATTATTTTACAATTATTTTATGTATTTATTTAAACTATTTTATTTATTTAAATGATTCTATTTATTATTTTTGGGGGGGCTCCCACCCCAAATTCCATTTTCTGGGGGGGGTCCCACCCCAAATTCCATTTTTTGGGGGGTGTCCCATCCCAAAATCCATTTTTTGGGGTGGGGTTCCACCCCAAATTCCATTTTCTGGGGGGCTCCCACCCCAAATCCCATGTTTTGGGGGCTCCCAGCCCCTCCCAGCCCCTAATCGCCGGCAATCCCGCAGGAATGCTGCGCAAGCTGCAGATCCAGCAGGAAGAGGACCTGCAGGCCGTGGTGGAGGTGGCTGCGCACGTGTTCAGCGACGGGGTGACCAACTGGGGCCGCGTGGTGACCCTGGTGGCCTTCGGGGCCTTGGTGGCCAAGCACCTGAAGAGCATCAAGCAGGAGCAGAGCATCGGCTCCCTGGCCGGGATCATCACCGACGCCCTGGTCTCCACCAAGAGGGAGTGGCTGGAGAGCCAGGGGGGCTGGGTGAGTCACCATTCCTGGTTTTTTCCAATATTTCTGGGTTTTTGGCTGGTTTTGGGGTGTGTGGTTGTGTCCCGGGGGGGTTGTGGGGGTGTAGGAGCGACTCGGCGTTAGCTGCCTGGAGTGGTTGGGGATAAAAAGCAGATTTTTGGGGTGTTCCTGCTCATTGCCAAAGGTGGGGCAGCCCTGGGGGGGCTGAGCTGGCCCGTGGATGAAATGGGGCTGGGGGAGTTGGGGCGGGGGCACAGTCTGACACGCTGGGCTGAAATGGGGCTGGGGGAGCACAGGGAGAACACTGGAGAGTGCAGGATGAAATGGGGCGGGGGGAGCACTGGGGATGAGCAGGATGAAATGGGGCTGGGGGCTGCTTTAGCCTGAAATGGCTCTGAGGATGTTTGAGGATGAAATGGGGCTGGGGGAGCACAGGGGATGGGCAGGATGAAATGGGGCTGGGGTCTGTTTTAGCCTGAAATGGCTCTGGGGTTGTTTGAGGATGAAATGGGTCTGGGGGCTGTTTGAGGCTGAAATGGGGCTGGGGGTGCACAGGGGATGAGCAGGATGAAATGGGTCTGGGGGCTGTTTGAGGCTGAAATGGGTCTGGGGATATTTTAGGATAAAATGGGTCTAGGGGAGCAGAGGGGATGAGCAGGATGAAATGGGTCTGGGGGATGTTTGAGGCTGCAGTGGGTCTGGGGGCTGTTTTCCCTGCAGTGGGTCTGGGGGCTGTTTGGGGCTGCAGTGGGTCTGGGGGCTGTTTTACCCTGCAGTGGGTCTGGGGGCTGTTTGGGGCTGCAGTGGGTCTGGGGGCTGTTTTCCCTGCAGTGGGTCTGGGGGCTGTGCCCGGCCTGCCCGCTCTGAGGCTCGCCGCTCTCTCCCCAGGAGGGCTTCGTGGACTTTTTCCGCCCGGAGGATCTGGAGGGCAGCGTCCGGAACGTTCTGATGGCCTTCGCGGGCGTGGCCGGCCTGGGCGCCAGCCTGGCCTACATGATCCGGTGAGCCCGGCCTGCCCGCGCCCCCGGGGCACGCTGTGGGGGGACTGCCTCCCTGGGACCCCCAGGATCAGACTTTGGGGGGCCTGCCTCCCTGAGACCCCCAGGATCAGACTTTGGGAGGACTGCCTCCCTGGGACCCCCAAGAACCAGACTTTGGGGGGACTGCCTCCCTGGGACCCCCAGGATCACATTTTGGAAGGACTGGCTCCCTGGGGCTGCCTGGGATCAGACTTTTGGAGGACTGGCTACTCCCAAGAACCAGATTTTTGGAAGACTGGCTCCTTGGCACTCCCAAGAACCAGATTTTTGGAGGACTGGCTCTTTGGGCATGCCAACCACCAGATTTTGGAAGGACTGCCTCCGCGGTGCTGCCCAGGATCAGATTTTGGAGGACTGGCTCCCCAGCACTCCCAGGAACCAGACTTTGGGAGGACTGGCTCCCTGGGGCTGCCCAGAGCCAGAATTTTGGAAGGACTGGCTCCTGGGGCTGCCTGGGATCACATTTTGGAGGACTGGCTCCCCAGCACTCCCAAGAACCAGATTTTTGGAGGACTGGCTCCTTGGCACTCCCAGGATCAGACTTTGGAAGGACTGGCTCTTTGGGCATGCCAACCACCAGATTTTGGAAGGACTGGCTCCTGGGGCTGCCTGGGATCACATTTTGGAGGACTGGCTCTTTGGGGATGCCCAGGATCACATTTTGGAAGGTCTGGCTCCTTGGGGATGCCCACCACCAGATTTTTGGAAGAACTGCCTTCCTGGGGTTGCCTGGGATCACATTTTGGAAGGACTGGCTCTTTGGTGCTGCCCACCACCAGATTTTGGAACGACTGGCTCCCTGGAGCTGCCCAGGATCAGATTTTGGAAGACTGGCTACTCCCAAGAACCAGATTTTTGGATGACTGTCTCCCTGGGGATGCCCACCACCAGATTTTTGGAAGAACTGCCTTCCTGGGGTTGCCTGGGATCACATTTTGGAAGGACTGGCTCTTTGGTGCTGCCCACCACCAGATTTTGGAACGACTGGCTCCCTGGAGCTGCCCAGGATCAGATTTTGGAAGACTGGCTACTCCCAAGAACCAGATTTTTGGAGGACTGACTCTTTGGAGCTGCCCACCACCAGATTTTTGGAAGGACTGGCTCTTTGGGGATGCCCAGGATGAGATTTTTGGAGGACTGGCTACTCCCAAGAACCAGATTTTTGGAGGACTGTCTCCCTGGGGCTGCCCAGAACCAGATTTTTGGAGGACTGTCTCCCTGGGGCTGCCCACCCCCAGATTTTGGAGGACTGTCTCCCTGGGGCTGCCCACCCCAGGTTCTGGCTGCAGACCCCCGCAGGGGGACACGGAGCCGTCCCTGGAGCAGCTCCCGAGGAGGAGGAAGGTGATCTGCTGATGGATGCAGCATTCCTGGCTTCTGGAAGAGTTTTCCCTCTCCTCCCCTCACCTGGACGAGCTCAGGTGGATTTTTGCTTCTGATCCCAGAGGAACCAACTCCAGCAGCTCCTGCAGGGCCGAGGCAGCGGAGCAGGCGTTTGCAGGCTTGTGGTTTTTGGGGTTTTTCTGGTTGTTTTTGGTTTTTTTAAAATTTTTTTTCCTGGAAATAGCACCTTCTGCTGCTGCTGCTCTGCCTAAACTTCTGCTCTGGAGCAGAAGCTGGGGATGCTGTGCCAGGTGCTGCCCAGCCCCTTCCCTCCCCTGGGGGCTTCACAAAAATCACTTTTTTTGGCCCCAAACACTTCAGAAACAACAACTGCGTTTTGTAATTATGTAAAAAACCCCCGTTGGGCGGGGGAGAGGGCGCGGGGAAGCTGTAAATGTCTGTAAATCTGTGGAATATATACATTTTGCCTGCCCGCTCTGAGGCTCGCCGCTCTCTCCCCAGGAGGGCTTCGTGGACTTTTTCCGCCCGGAGGATCTGGAGGGCAGCGTCCGGAACGTTCTGATGGCCTTCGCGGGCGTGGCCGGCCTGGGCGCCAGCCTGGCCTACATGATCCGGTGAGCCCGGCCTGCCCGCGCCCCCGGGGCCCGCTGTGGGGGGCCTGCCTCCCTGGGACCCCCAGGATCACATTTTGGAAGGACTGGCTCCCTGGGGCTGCCTGGGATCAGACTTTTGGAGGACTGGCTACTCCCAAGAACCAGATTTTTGGAGGACTGGCTCCTTGGCACTCCCAGGATCAGACTTTGGAAGGACTGGCTCTTTGGGCATGCCAACCACCAGATTTTGGAAGGACTGCCTCCGCGGTGCTGCCCAGGATCAGATTTTGGAGGACTGGCTCCCCAGCACTCCCAGGAACCAGACTTTGGGAGGACTGGCTCCCTGGGGCTGCCTGGGATCACATTTTGGAGGACTGGCTCTTTGGGGATGCCCAGGATCACATTTTGGAAGGTCTGGCTCCTTGGGGATGCCCACCACCAGATTTTTGGAGGACTGGCTACTCCCAAGAACCAGATTTTGGAAGGACTGGCTCTTTGGGCATGCCAACCACCAGATTTTTGGAGGACTGACTCTTTGGAGCTGCCCACCACCAGATTTTTGGAAGGACTGGCTCTTTGGGGATGCCCAGGATGAGATTTTTCGAGGACTGGCTACTCCCAAGAACCAGATTTTTGGATGACTGTCTCCCTGGGGATGCCCACCACCAGATTTTTGGAAGAACTGCCTTCCTGGGGTTGCCTGGGATCACATTTTGGAAGGACTGGCTCTTTGGTGCTGCCCACCACCAGATTTTGGAAGGACTGGCTCCCTGGAGCTGCCCGGGATCAGATTTTGGAAGACTGGCTACTCCCAAGAACCAGATTTTTGGAGGACTGACTCTTTGGAGCTGCCCACCACCAGATTTTGGAAGACTGGCTCCTTGGGGCTGCCTGGAATCAGATTTTGGAGGACTGGCTACTCCCAACCACCAGATTTTGGAAGACTGGCTCTTTGGGGATGCCCAGGATGAGATTTTTGGAGGACTGGCTACTCCCAAGAACCAGATTTTTGGAGGACTGTCTCCCTGGGGCTGCCCACCCCAGGTTCTGGCTGCAGACCCCCGCAGGGGGACACGGAGCCGTCCCTGGAGCAGCTCCCGAGGAGGAGGAAGGTGATCTGCTGATGGATGCAGCATTCCTGGCTTCTGGAAGAGTTTTCCCTCTCCTCCCCTCACCTGGACGAGCTCAGGTGGATTTTTGCTTCTGATCCCAGAGGAACCAACTCCAGCAGCTCCTGCAGGGCCGAGGCAGCGGAGCAGGCATTTGCAGGCTTGTGGTTTTTGGGGTTTTTCTGGTTGTTTTTGGTTTTTTTAAAATTTTTTTTCCTGGAAATAGCACCTTCTGCTGCTGCTGCTCTGCCTAAACTTCTGCTCTGGAGCAGAAGCTGGGGATGCTGTGCCAGCCTCACCTGCTGCCAGGTGCTGCCCAGCCCCTTCCCTCCCCTGGGGGCTTCACAAAAATCACTTTTTTTGGCCCCAAACAGCCTTGGCTGCGCGCAGACGCTTCAGAAACAACAACTGCGTTTTGTAATTATGTAAAAAACCCCCGTTGGGCGGGGGAGAGGGCGCGGGGAAGCTGTAAATGTCTGTAAATCTGTGGAATATATACATTTTTGCAGAGCTGGAGATACAAAAAGGAGGAATTCCCTCTGGCTGTGGCTTCGTTCCTGGTGGGAAGCGGCATTCCTGTGGCTCCAGCCTTCCCTGGGGCGGCAGCAGTGGCCACAGCTGATGTTTCTGTTGGGTTTTAAATCTTTTTTTTTTATTTTTTTTTCAATTTTTTTGTCCCTTTTGGCGGGGGTGGGGGAGCTGGGGAAGTTCATTCTGGCCGCTTCCTCCTCCTCTTCCTCCTCCTCCTCCTCCAAGCCGTGAGCCGTGCAGAGTAAAGAATGTAAAATTCACTTTACACCCAAAAAACGTCAAATTTCTGCTTTCTGGGGCCGCTCCCTCAAGGTGGCTTCGATGCCCAGGCCAGCTGTGGTTCCATCAATAAATGTCATTATTTTTATTTTTTATTTATTCTTCCTCATTCCTCACTTCCCAAACTGCTTTTCTCCCCCGGCTGGGGGGATCTCGTGCTTTTTAAATCTCGTTTTTTCTCCCTCTTTTGGGGGGTCCCTGAACGCCCCTGCGCCAGAAATTCCCTGCAGGTTTGGGGTGGGTGGTAGAGGCAAAATCCTGCCCCAAAATCATCTAGAAATGTAAAATCCTGCCCCAAAATCATCTGGAAAGGCAAAATCCTGCCCCAAAATGCTCTGGAAATGTAAAACCCTGCCCCAAAATCCTGTGGAAATTATTTATTCTTCCTCATTCCTCACTTCCCAAACTGCTTTTCTCCCCCGGCTGGGGGGATCTCGTGCTTTTTAAATCTCGTTTTTTCTCCCTCTTTTGGGGGGTCCCTGAACGCCCCTGCGCCAGAAATTCCCTGCAGGTTTGGGGTGGGTGGTAGAGGCAAAATCCTGCCCCAAAATCATCTAGAAATGTAAAATCCTGCCCCAAAATCATCTGGAAAGGCAAAATCCTGCCCCAAAATGCTCTGGAAATGCAAAATCCTGCCCCAAAATCATCTGGAAATGCAAAATCCTGCCCCAAAGTCATCTGGAAAGGCAAAATCCTGCCCCAAAATCATATGGAAATGTAAAATTCTGCCTCAAAATTCTGTGGGAAAGCAAAATCCTGCCCCAAAATCATCTGGAAATGCAAAATCCTGCCCCAAAATGCTCTGAAAAGGCAAAATCCTGCCCCAAAATCATATGGAAATGTAAAATGTAAAATTCTGTCTCAAAATTCTGTGGGAAAACAAAATCCTGCCTCAAAATCATCTGGAAAGGCAAAATCCTGCCCCAAAATGCTCTGGAAATGTAAAACCCTGCCCCAAAATCCTGTGGAAATGCAAAATCCTGCCCCAAAATGCTCTGAAAAGGCAAAATCCTGCCCCAAAATCTGCTGGAAATACCAATTTCCCCCCAGACCCAGCCGGCTGCCCCAGCCCGGTGTTGCTTTTCTGCCTTTTTTGGGCTGGTTTTTGTTGTGTTTCGTTCTGTTTTTCCGGTTTTTGGGTGGTTTTTGGGTGGTTTTTGGGTTTTTTTTCGCCGCTGTGTCTTTGGGGATATTTTGGGCCTGCTCGGGCCTCGGGGCGGGGGTTGCCATGGAAACATGCAAAGGGAGGGTGGGGGGATTTGGGGTGTCCGGGGGGGGATTTGGGGTGTGCCAGGGGGTTTTGGGGTGTCTCAGGTTTTTTTGGGTGCCTCGGGGGGTTTTTGGGGTGGCTTGGAGGTTTGTTTTTTTTTTGGGGTGCCTTAGGGGTTTTGGGGTGGTTCAGGGTTTTTTGGGGTGATTCAGGGGTTTTGGGGTGTCTCAGGGTTTTTTTGGGTGTCTCAGGGGGTTTAGGGTGGTCCAGGAGTTTTGGGGTGCAGTAGGAGCTCAGGGTGGGGGGTTTTGGGGTGGTTTTTGTAACTGTTTCGGGGTTTCTGCAGCAGCAGTTTTGGGGTGGGTTTTGCAGCAGTTTTGGGGTTTTTGCAGCAGTTTTGGGGTTCCCGTAGCAGCAGTTTGGGGGGTGCCAGCAGCAGTTTTGGGGTGCAGGTTCCTGCAGCAGTTTCGGGGTGCCAGTAGCAGTTTGGGGGTTCCTGTAGCAGCAGTTTTGGGGTGGGTTTTGTAGCAGCAGTTTTGGGGTGGTTCCTGCAGCAGTTTTGGGGTCCCTGTAGCAGTTTTGGGGTGCAGGTTTCTGCAGCAGTTTTGGGATTGGTTTTGTAGCACTTTTGGGGTGGTTCCTGCAGCAGTTCGGGGTTCCTGCAGCAGTTTTGGGGTGGATTTTGTAGTTTTGGGGTGGGTTTTGTAGCAGTTTCAGGGTGCAGGTTCCTGCAGCAGTTTCGGGGTTCCTGCAGCAGCTTTGGGGTGGGTTTTGTAGCAGTTTCAGGGTGCAGGTTCCTGCAGCAGTTTCGGGGTTTCTGCAGCAGTTTTGGGGTGGATTTTGTAGTTTTGGGGTGGTTTCTGCAGCAGTTTTGGGGTTCCTGCAGCAGCTTTGGGGTGGATTTTGTAGTTTTGGGGTGGTTCCTGCAGCAGTTTCGGGGTTCCTGCAGCAGCTTTGGGGTGGATTTTGTAGTCTGCAGCAGTTTTGGGGTTTCTGCAGCAGTTTTGGGGTGGTTCCTGCAGCAGTTTTGGGGTTTCTGCAGCAGTTTTGGGGTGGTTCCTGCAGCAGTTTTGGGGTTTCTGCAGCAGTTTTGGGGTGGTTCCTGCAGCAGTTTTGGGGTTTCTGCAGCAGTTTTGGGGTGGTTCCTGCAGCAGTTTTGGGGTTTCTGCAGCAGTTTTGGGGTGGTTCCTGCAGCAGTTTTGGGGTTTCTGCAGCAGTTTTGGGGTGGTTCCTGCAGCAGTTTTGGGGTTTCTGCAGCAGTTTTGGGGTGGTTCCTGCAGCAGTTTTGGGGTTTCTGCAGCAGTTTTGGGGTGGTTCCTGCAGCAGTTTTGGGGTTTCTGCAGCAGTTTTGGGGTGGTTCCTGCAGCAGTTTTGGGGTTTCTGCAGCAGTTTTGGGGTGGTTCCTGCAGCAGTTTTGGGGTTTCTGCAGCAGTTTTGGGGTGGTTCCTGCAGCAGTTTTGGGGTTTCTGCAGCAGTTTTGGGGTGGTTCCTGCAGCAGTTTTGGGGTTTCTGCAGCAGTTTTGGGGTGGTTCCTGCAGCAGTTTTGGGGTTTCTGCAGCAGTTTTGGGGTGGTTCCTGCAGCAGTTTTGGGGTTTCTGCAGCAGTTTTGGGGTGGTTCCTGCAGCAGTTTTGGGGTTTCTGCAGCAGTTTTGGGGTGGTTCCTGCAGCAGTTTTGGGGTTTCTGCAGCAGTTTTGGGGTGGTTCCTGCAGCAGTTTTGGGGTTTCTGCAGCAGTTTTGGGGTGGATTTTGCAGCAGTTTTGGGGTTTCTGCAGCAGTTTTGGGGTGGTTCCTGCAGCAGTTTTGGGGTTTCTGCAGCAGTTTTGGGGTGGTTCCTGCAGCAGTTTTGGGGTTTCTGCAGCAGTTTTGGGGTGGTTCCTGCAGCAGTTTTGGGGTTTCTGCAGCAGTTTTGGGGTGGTTCCTGCAGCAGTTTCGGGGTTCCTGCAGCAGCTTTGGGGTGGATTTTGTAGTTTTGGGGTGGTTCCTGCAGCAGTTTCGGGGTTCCTGCAGCAGCTTTGGGGTGGATTTTGTAGTTTTGGGGTGGTTCCTGCAGCAGTTTCGGGGCGCCGTTTCCCGTTCCCCGCTCCCCCCGCCGTTCCCCCCCCGTTTCTCAGAAGCCGCCGCCGCTTCCCCGAAGCGGCCGCAAACAAACACCCGCCGGGGGAGGGGAAAAAAAAAGGCTTTAAAGGAGAAAAACGCGAGGGCAGCTGCGGGAAAAGGGGGTGCGGCCCCCCCCCGGGGTGGGGGGGATTTTGGGGAGGCAGCTCCGAGCAGGGGTTCATGCAAATGGGCAAAATCCCCCCCCCAAAAATACAAAAATTTGGGTTTTTTTAGGGTTTCTGTCACGCTCCAGGTGTGGGGTTTTCCCCTGGGGGGATCCGGGATGTTGGGGGGCAGAAATTTAACTTTTTTTTTTGGGGGGGGGTCACTGCACTTTCCCCCCTTTATAGGGCAAGGGGGGTCCTTGGGGAGAATTTGGGGGGACCCCACTTTAAGTCAGAGATGTTTTTTGGGGAGAGGGGCTGCCTGGAGCGCCCCCACCCCCCAAATCACTGCCCTTTTCCCCCCATTTTTGGGGCGGGGGGCGTCCCCCCTAAATTCCCAGGGTCTCCCCAAAGACTCCCCCTTCAATCCCTGGTCTTTCCCCCCCGTTTTTGGGCAAGGGGGGTCCTTGGGGAGACCCTGGGAATTTGGGGGGACCCCCACCTGAAGTCAGAGCTGTTTTTTGGGGAGAGGGGCTGCCTGGAGCCCCCCCCGTGGGGTTTTTGGGGGGCGGGGACCCCCCCAGCCCGCCGGGATTGTCCCTGCGGGGGGAGGAAGCGGGGGCGGGGTGACTCATTTGGGCTGAGATGACGAAGATTTGGGGAATTTGGGGAATTTGGGGCTGGGTTTTGAGGAGTGGGGGCTGGGGTCCCATCCTGACCCCCTCCCCAGCCGGGGGGGGCGGGGTTTGTTCCCCCCCAGTTCCTTTTCCAGGAATTCGGGTGCCCCAAATTCCCTTTCCTTCCTCCCGAGCCTGGCATTGGGCACTGGGCTGCTCCGTGAAGGCTCCTCCTCCTCTTCCTCCTCTTCTTCCTCCTCCTCCTCTTCTTTTTATTCTTTTTCTTATTTTCCTTCTTTTTCTTCTTTTTCTTCTCCTCCTTCTCTTCTTCTTCCTCCTCCTCCTCCTTTTCTCCTTCTCTTCCTCCTCTTTTTCTCCTCTTCCTCCTCCTCTCTTCCTTTTCCTCCTTTTCTGCTTATCTTCCTTCTCCTCCTCTTCCTCTCTTTCTCCTCCTCCTCTTCTTTTTCTTCTTTTTCTTCTTTTTCTTCTTTTCCTTATTTTTCTTCTTTTTCCTCTTCTTCTCTTCCTCCTCCTCCTTTTCTCCTTCTCTTCCTCCTCCTCTTCCTCTCTTCCTCCTCCTCCTCTTCCTTATTTTTCTTCTTTTTCTTCTTTTTTTCTTCTTTTTCTTCTTCATTTTCTCCTCTTCCTCCTCGCCCTCCTTTTCTCCTCCTCTTCCTCCTCCTCTCCCGGACTCCTGGCCCCCCCTGGTCCGCGGGTTCTGGGGGGCACAGGGGGTGTTTGGGGGGATTTGGGGGCATTTTGGGGTTCTGGGGGCACAGGGGGTGTTGAGTGGCTGCAGTTTGGGGCGGTACCGGGCTCGGTACCGGTATCCCGGACCAAAGGCGGTACCGGGGGCGGTACCGGGCTCGGTACCGGTATCCCGGACCAAAGGCGGTACCGGGGGCGGTACCGGGCTCGGTACCGGTATCCCGGACCAAAGGCGGTACCGGGGGCGGTACCAGGGTCGGTACCGTAGTTCCGGACCAAAGGCGGTACCGGGGTCGGTACCGGTATCCCGGACCAAAGGCGGTACCAGGGTCGGTACCGTAGTTCCGGACCAAAGGCGGTACCGGGGTCGATACCAGGGTCGGTACCGGGGTGGTGCCAAAGGCGGTACCGGGGTCGGTGCCGGGGGCGGTGCCGGGGGCGGTACCAGAGGCGGTACCGGGGTCGGTACCGGGGTCCCAGAGCGGGGGCGGTGCCGGGGGCGGTACCAGGGGCGGTACCAGGGGCGGTACCAGAGGCGCATCCTGCCCCCCAAACCCCCTCACCCTGCCTAAAGACCCCTCAATCTGCCCGCAGACCCCTCATCCTGCCCCAGACCCCTCAATCTGCCCCCAGACCCCTCAGTTCCCTGCTCTAAACCCACAGCCCCCTCCCCAGGGACCCTCCCCTGCGGTTCCTGCTCTGCAGCGCCCAAAAGGAAGTTTGGCGCTTTCCGCTGGGTTTTTCTTTGTTTTTTTTTCCCATTTTCGCCTGTTCCTCTTTCAGGACACCACCCTCACACAGCTCCCCCCCAGGGGCAGCCCCCTGAGCAGGGACAGATGCTGGAGCTGGGCCGGGGGGTTTGGGGTGGGTTCAGGAGAAGTTTGTGCCCTCCGAGCTCCAGCAGAGCTTGGACAACGCTCCCAGGCCGGATTTTGGGGTGCCAGAGCACGGCCAGGGGTTGATCCCCGTGTGCCACCATCGTATTTTCGGGAAAAAGAAAATCCTCGCCCAGGGTTTTCTCCTGGGAAGCTGAGAAGCCTCAGTTTCTCCTGTGTTTTATTGCTTTGGAGGTTGTTTATCCAACAGGTGAATTGTTTTTATTTAATGGCCAAACACAGCCAAGCTGTGAGTGACTCTGAGGAGTCTCGAGTTTTTATTATTAATTCTTGTTATTTATTATTCTTATAATTCTTATAATTATTCTTGTTAAGCCTTTTGATGTCTCCTTTCTTTAGTATAGTTTTAATAGTGTTCTTAGTATATAATATATATACTATATTATATATACTATATTCTTATATATAACAGAATTCTTATATTACATATAGTTATGATATAGTATATATAGTATATATAATGTAGTATATATTATATATAACATAGTATGTATTATATTATAATAAATATAATATATATGTACATATGTATATAATATATATACATATTATTATATGTATATAATAATACAGTGTAATACAGTATAATGTAATATAATATCATGCCATATCATACCATTAATATAATAATAAATATTATGAATATAATAATATAATTAATATATCATATCATGTCCTATCATAGTGTAATATTATAATAATAATATTATCAGCCTTCTGAGGACATGGAGGCAGGTTCAGTCACTGCTCCTCTGTCCTGGGGACCCCAGGAACGAGCATGGGGAGTTCCCAGTCCAGGCCCAGCAGCCCCTGCCCAGCTCCTGCACCCTCCCCAGCCTGCCAGCAGCTCCCTCCTCGCCCCCAGCCCCAGGACAGCAGTCCCACGGCAGTCTGTGTCTAGAAATCCACTTTATTTGGTTGCAGACGAGTGAGTGACGGAGCGCCCGGAGCCCCCAGGTCCCTGTGAGGAGCCCAGGGGCAGAATCCTGGCTGGAGCAGCCCCCCAGGGCCCCCCAGCACACACCTGAGCTGCAGCAACTGCTGGCAGGTGGCCCTGGGTGCCCCCTGTGCCCCCTGTGCCCAGCAGGGAGGGGATGGAGCCTGCAAGGGCACTGGAGACAGGCCCTGGCAGCAGTTGTTGTGTCCCTGGGGAGGAGGAGGAGGAGAAAAGGAGGAAGAAGAGAACAAAAAGAGGAGAAGAGGAGGAGGAGAAGAAGAAGAGGAAAAGAAGGAGAAAAGGAGGAAGAGAAGGAGGAGGAGAAGAGGAGGAGGAGGAGGAAGAGAACAAGAGGAGAAGAGGAGGAGGAAGAGGAGAAGAAGAGGAGAAAGAGAAGGAGAAAAGAAGAAGGAGAAAAGGAGGAGAAAGAAGAGGAGGAGGAGAAGAAGAAGAAGAGGAGAAAGAGAAGGAGAAAAGGAGGAGGAGAAAAGGAGGAGGAGGAAGAGGAGGAGAAGAGGAGAAAGAGAAGAGAAGGAGCAGGAGGAGAAAAGGAGGAGGAAGAGAAGAAGAGGAAGAGAAGGAGAAAAGGAGCAGGAGAAAAGGAGGAGGAAGAAGAGGAGGAGGAGGATTTTCCTGACCAAACTCCCCCCATCGCTTCCCTTTGCTGCGTGGATCAGGAAAAATCCGGGCAGGGAGCGCAGGAGCGGCAGCGGGCAGGGGCGAGGCTGGCACCTGCAAGTGTCACCCGGGTCCCCTGGGGGGCAGAGGGGACGGCAGCAAACACGGCCACTCCCGGGAGGGAATCCGGGAATCCCGGGAATGGGAGGACCCGGGAGGGGAGGGGAGGATCCAGGAGTGGAGGGGAGGATGCCGGGGGTCTCCACGGCCACTCCCGGGAGGGAATCCGGGAATCCCGGGGAGCCGGACCCGGGAGCGGGAGGGGCCAGGAGTGGAGGGGAGGATGCCGGGGGTCTCCACAGCCCCTCCCGGGAAGAGAATCCGGGTATCCCGGGAATGGGAGGACCCGGGAGGGGAGGGGAGGATCCCGGGGGTCTCCACAGCCACTCCCGGGAAGAGAATCCGGGAATCCCGGGAATGGGAGGATCCAGGAATGGAGGGGAGGATCCAGGAGTGGAGGGGAGGATCCCGGGGGTCTCCACGGCCCCTCCCGGGAGGGGAATCCGGGAATCCCGGGGAGCCGGACCCGGGAGTGGGAGGATCCAGGAGTGGAGGGGAGGGTCTCGGGGGTCTTCACGGCCATTCCCAGAAGGGAATCCGGGAATCCCGGGGAGGAGGACCCGTGAGTGGAGGGGAGGGTCCCGGGGGTCTCCACGGCCATTCCCGGGAAGGGAATCCTGGGGAAGAGAACCCGGGAATGGAGGGGAGGGTCCAGGAGTGGAGGGGAGGGGCTCGGGGGTCTTCACGGCCATTCCCAGAAGGGAATCCGGGAATCCCGGGGAGCCGGACCCGGGAGCGGGAGGGGCCAGGAGTGGAGGGGAGGGGCTCGGGGGTCTTCACGGCCATTCCCAGAAGGGAATCCGGGAATCCCGGGGAGCCGGACCCGGGAGCGGGAGGGGCCAGGAGTGGAGGGGAGGGGCTCGGGGGTCTTCACGGCCATTCCCAGAAGGGAATCCGGGAATCCCGGGGAGCCGGACCCGGGAGCGGGAGGGGCCAGGAGTGGAGGGGAGGGTGCCCGGGGTCTCCACGGCCATTCCCGGGAAGGGAATCCTGGGGAAGAGAACCCGGGAATGGAGGGGAGGATCCCGGGGGTCTCCACGGCCATTCCCAAAAGGCAATCCGGGAATCCCGGGGAGGAGGACCCGGGAGTGGGAGGACCCGGGAGTGGAGGGGAGGGTCCCGGGGGTCTCCCGGGCCCGGCCCCCTCAGTTGATGGGCTCGTACTCCGAGTAGCGGCGCCTGTGTGCCAGCAGCAGCAGGCAGCTGCCCAGCAGCAGCATGGCCAGCGGCGTGCCCAGCGCCACGGCCGTGATGGAGATCACCAGCGGCGAGAAGGTGTCCCTGGGGGGCTCCCCGAAACCCAGCAGCACCGACCTGCGGGGGAGGGAACACCTCAGCACAGGGGTGGGCTCTGTCCTGAGCCCCTGGGCATTGCCCAGCCCAGAGGGTCAGGACAAGATGAGGCTCCTCGAGGAATTTCTGTGGGGTATTTGCTGCAGGATTGCAGGGGAACTCTGACTTGGGAATGGAGATTGTTACTAAACAGTCCCCAAACTGCACATCCTTAGTGGCCAGGAGCATCCCTTCAGCACATTGTTAGTGACCAGCAGCATCCCTCAGACCCTTCAGACCCCTCTGCACATCTTTAGTGACCTGCAATATCCTTTCAGGCCCCTGTGCCCATCCTTAGTGACCAGCAGCATCCTTTCACACCCTCCAGACCCCTCTGCACATCCTTAGTGACCAGCAGCATCCTCTGAGACCCCTCTGCACATCTTCAGTGACCAGCAGCATCCCCCAGACCCTTCAGACTCCTCTGCACATCCTTAGTGACCAGGAGCATCCCCTCAGACTCTTCCGCACATCTTTAGTGACCAGGAACATCCTTTCAGACCTTTCAGACCCCTCTCCACATTCTTAGTGACCAGGAACATCCCCTCAGACCCCTCTGCCCATCATTAGTGACCAGCAGCATCCCCTCAGACCCCTCTGCACATCTTCAGTGACCAGCAGCATCCCCCAGACCCTCCAGACCCCTCTGCCCATTCTTAGTGACCAGCAGCATCCCCTCAGACCCCTCTGCACATCTTTAGTGACCAGGAACATCCTTTCAGACCCTCCAGACCCCTCTGCCCATCCTTAGTGACCAGGAGCATCCCTTCAGACCCTTCAGCACATTGTGAGTGACCAGCAGCATCCCCTGAGACCCTTCTGCCCATCCTTAGTGACCAGGAACATCCCCTGAGACGCCTCTGCACATCTTCAGTGACCAGGAACATCCCCTGAGACCCCTCTGCACATCTTCAGTGACCAGGAACATCCCCTGAGACCCCTCTGCCCATCCTTAGTGACCAGCAGCATCCCTCAGACCCTTCAGACCCCTCTGCACATCTTTAGTGACCTGCAATATCCTTTCAGACCCTTCAGGCCCCTGTGCCCATCCTTAGTGACCAGCAGCATCCCTCAGACCCTTCAGGCCCCTGTGCCCATCCTTAGTGACCAGCAGCATCCTTTCACACCCTCCAGACCCCTCTGCACATCCTTAGTGACCAGCAGCATCCTCTGAGACCCCTCTGCACATCTTCAGTGACCAGCAGCATCCCCCAGACCCTCCAGACCCCTCTGCCCATTCTTAGTGACCAGGAACATCCTTTCAGACCTTTCAGACCCCTCTCCACATTCTTAGTGACCAGGAACATCCCCTCAGACCCCTCTGCCCATCATTAGTGACCAGCAGCATCCCCCAGACCCTCCAGACCCCTCTGCCCATCCTTAGTGACCAGGAGCATCCCTTCAGACCCTTCAGCACATTGTGAGTGACCAGCAGCATCCCCTGAGACCCTTCTGCCCATCCTTAGTGACCAGGAACATCCCCTGAGACGCCTCTGCACATCTTCAGTGACCAGGAACATCCCCTGAGACCCCTCTGCCCATCCTTAGTGACCAGAAACATCCCCTCAGACCATCCCTAGTGACCAGCAGCATGCCCCCAGACCCCAGACCCCCACTCACCAGCTGAGGTACCTCCTCTCCTGGTACACCTGTCCCTCCTCTCCCCCAAAGGACACATTGAGGGCGCTGACGGTGCAGCTGCTGTGCCAGGTGTCCCCAAAGAAGGCCTGGAGCACGCTGGCCCCGGGCAGGCTCCCGTTGGCCAGGGACAGCCCCTGGGCCCTGCACTGGATGCTGTCCTCGCGCCGCGGGCTCCGCGAGCCGTAGGCCACAGCCTTCCACTGCAGGAAGGGCAGCGGGGAGCTGCTGTTGGGGGGCTCTGCCAGCAGGGACAGCACCTGGGACAGGGACAGCGGGGTCAGCCCGGGCCACGGAGCGAAACGGAGCTCTGCCGGGGATAAGGCTGGGAGAAGGGCAGGGGAAAGGGAAAGGCTGGGAGAAGAGCAGGGGAAAGGGAAAAGGAAAGGCTGGGAGAAGGTCAGGAAAGAAAAAGGCTGGGAGAAGAGCAGGGGAAAGGGAAAGGTTGTGAGACGGTCAGGGGAAAGGGAAAGGGAAAGGCTGAGAGAAGAGCAGGGGAAAGGGAAAGGCTTGGAGAAGAGCAGAGGAAAGGGAAAAGGGAAAGGCTGTGAGAAGAGCAGAGGAAAAGGAAAAGCTGGGAGAAGAGCAGGGGAAAGGAAAAGCTGGGAGAAGAGCAGAGGAAAGGGAAAGGCTGTGAACAGAGCAGAGGAAAGGGAAAGGCTGGGAGAAGAGCAGGGGAAAGGGAAAGGCTGGGAGAAGAGCAGAGGAAAGGCCATGAGAAGGTTAGAGGAAGAGGAAAGGCTGTGAGAAGGTCAGGAAAGGGAAAGGCTGAGAGAAGAGCAGGGGAAAGGGGAAAGGCTGTGAGAGAAGCAGAGAAAAAGGAAAAAGGGAAAGGTTGTGAGAAGAACAGAAGAAAACCTGGGAGAAGAGCAGAGAAAAGGGAAAGGGAAAGGCTGTGAACAGAGCAGAGGAAAGAGAAAAGCTGGATGGGAGAAGAGCAGAGGAAAGGCCATGAAGAGGTCAGAGGAAGAGGAAAGGCTGTGAGAAGATCAAAGAATGAGGAACAATTCTTATCTAAACTTGCTGCACCTGGTGTTGTGAACACGTGGAATGGGCTATGGAGATTTGTTTGCCAAAGGGTGGTTTCTTAATTAGCCAGTGTGATGGTGTTTTAATTAGAGGATCAATTAGGTCAACTTGTATTATAACTGGCTATGAATGTAAGGGGTTTCTTAATAAAGACAGATTAATCAATCTATTAATTGATATTAATCTATCTAATAGATTGATATTAGCTAGACTAATATCAATGAACAGATTGGTTAATTGATCAATCAGTTAATTGATTGGGGGCTGCCCTGGCTCACCTGGAAGACGCTGGGGGTGTACTTGTCATTGATGGATTGCAGCATATTAGATAATTCTATTAATTGATATTAATCTATCTAATGCCAATCTATTGGATATACTAATATCAATGAACAAATTCATTAATTAATCAATCAATTAATCAACTGAGGCCCACTCTGGCTCACCTGGAAGACGCTGGGGGTGCACTCGTCATTGATGGATCGCAGCATATGTTCTATTAATTTATATCAATCTATCTCATATCACTCTATTCCTTAGACTAATATCAATGAATAGATTGATTAATTAACCAATCAATTAACCAACTGAGGGCAGCCTGGCTTACCTGGAAGACGCTGGGGGTGTACTCATCATTGATGGAGTGCAGCATATTAGACACGTTAATATCAATTCTATTGATTTATATTGACCTATCTCATATCACTCTATTAACTAGACTAATATCAACGAACAGATTGGTTAATTGATCAATAGTTAATTGATTGAGGGCAGCCTGGCTCACCTGGAAGACGCTGGGGGTGTACTTGTCGTCGATGGAGCACAGTATATTAGACAGGTTAATATAAATTATATTAATTTATATTAATCTATCTAAGATAAATCTATTAGCTAGACTAATATCAATGAACAGATTGGTTAATTGATCAATCAGTTAATTGATTGGGGACTGCCCTGGCTCACCTGGAAGACACTGGGGGTGCACTTGTCGTCGATGGAGTGCAGCATATTAGACACGTTAATATCAATTCTATTGATTTATATCGATCTATCTCATATCACTCCATGAACTACACTAATATCAATGAACAGATTGGTTAATTGATCAATCAGTTAATTGATTGGGGGCTGCCCTGGCTCATCTGGAAGACGCTGGGGGTGTACTCGTCGTCGATGGAGCACAGTATATTAGACAGGTTAATATCAATTCTATTGATTTATATTGACCTATCTCATATCACTCCATGAAATACACCAATATCAACGACCAGACTGGTTAATTAATCAATCCATTAACTCCCTGAGGGCAGCCTGGCTCACCTGGAAGACGCTGGGGGTGTACTCATCATTAAGACGCTGGGGGTGTACTCATCATTGATGGAGCGCAGCATATTAGATAGGCTAATATCAATTCTATTGATTTATATTGACCTATCTCATATCACTCTATTAAGTAGACTAATATCAATGAACAGATTGGTTAATTGATCAATCAGTTAATTGATTGGGGGCTGCCCTGGCTCACCTGGAAGATGCTGGGGGTGTACTCGTTGTCGATAGAGTGCAGCATATTAGACAGGTTAATATAAATTCTATTGATTTATATTAATCTATCTAAGATCAATCTATTAGCTAGACTAATATCAATGAACAGATTGATTAACTGATCAATCAGTTAATTGATTAGGGGCTGCCCTGGCTCATCTGGAAGACGCTGGGGGTGTACTCGTCGTCGATGGAGCGGTCGGTGTGCAGGCGCCGCGCCGCCCCCGCCGGCTCCACCGTGGCCAGCTGCAGCAGGAAGCGGGAGCCGTTCCCCCGGGGAGCCACCCCGGCCAGGATGAACTGCAGCTGAGAGCTGTCCGCCGTGTGCAGCAGCCTGGGCAGCTCCCCGGCACGGCCTGCCGCCTCGTAGGCTGTCACCTGCGGGACACGGGGGGACAGAGGGACACGGGGACGGGGACAGAGAGGGACAGAGAGGGACAGAGAGGGACAGAGAGGGACAGAGAGGGACAGAGAGACACGGGCACGGGGTCAGAGAGGGACAGAGAGGGACAGAGAGACACGGGCACGGGGTCAGAGAGGGACAGAGAGGGACAGAGAGACACGGGCACGGGGTCAGAGAGGGACAGAGAGGGACAGAGAGACACGGGCACGGGGTCAGAGAGGGACAGAGAGGGACAGAGAGACACGGGCACGGGGTCAGAGAGGGACAGAGAGGGACAGAGAGACACGGGCACGGGGTCAGAGAGGGACAGAGAGGGACAGAGAGACACGGGCACGGGGTCAGAGAGGGACAGAGAGGGACAGAGAGACACGGGCACGGGGTCAGAGAGGGACAGAGAGGGACAGAGAGACACGGGCACGGGGTCAGAGAGGGACAGAGAGGGACAGAGAGACACGGGCACGGGGTCAGAGAGGGACAGAGAGGGACAGAGAGACACGGGCACGGGGTCAGAGAGGGACAGAGAGGGACAGAGAGGGACAGCGAGGGACAGGGGACAGAGGACGAAGAGTGACACAGGACAGAGGGACAGTGAGGGACATGGGGCATGGGGACAGTGAAGAACAGAGGGACAGTGAGGGACAGAGAGCCTGTCACCTGGACATGCTCTCTGCCCCCTGGACATGTCCCCTGTCCCCATCCCCAGCCTCCTGGACATGTCCCCAGACCCCCGCCCATGTCCCCAGCCCCCTGGACAAGACCCCTGTCCTCTGGATGTGTTCCCTGTCCCCTGCCCGTGTCCCAGGCCCGAGAGGCAGAGAGGGACAGAGGGACACGGGCACGGGGACGGAGAGGGACAGAGAGACACGGGCACAGGGACAGAGAGGGACAGAGGGACACGGGGCACGGGGACAGAGAGGGACAGAGAGGGACAGAGGGACACGGGGCACGGGGACAGAGAGGGACAGAGAGGGACAGGGGACAGAGGGACGAAGAGTGACACAGGACAGAGGGACAGTGAGGGACATGGGGCACGGGGACAGTGAGAGACAGGGGACAGTGAGGGACAGAGGCCTGTCCCCAGCTCCTGCCCCTGTCCCCAGCCCCCTGCCCATGTCCTCAGCCCCCTGCCCATGTCCTCAGCCCCCTGGACGTGCTCTCTGTCCCCTGCCCATGTCCAGCCCCCTGGACATGTCCCCAGCCCCCTGGACGTGTCCCCAGCCCCTGCCCATGTCCCTAGCCCCTGGACGTGTCCCTTGCCCCCTGCCCATGTCCCCAGCCCCCTGGACGTGCTCTCTGTCCCCTGCCCCTCTCCCCTGCCAGTGTCCCCAGCCCCTGCCCCTGTCCCCAGCCCCCTGGACGTGCTCTCTATCCCCTGCCCATGTCCCCAGTCCCTGCCCCTGTCCCTAGCCCCCTGCCCGTGTCCCCAGCTCCCTGCCCATGTCCCCAGCCCCTGGATGTGTCCTCTGCCCCCTGCCCGTGTCCCCAGCCCCTGGACATGTCTCCAGCCTCCTGCCCATGTCCCTAGCCCCTGCCCATGTCTCCAGCCCCTGCCCATGTCCCCAGCCCCAGTCCCTGTCCCCAGCCCCTGGGCACACCCGCAGTGCCAGGCTGCCGTTGGCGAAGGCGCCGCCGGGGTCGGTGGCCGGGGCCCCGCTGAGCTCGGCCGTCAGCGCCGTGTGGTTCAGGGTGTGGTTGAGGCTGTCCCAGGAGAACTCCGACAGCTCGTAGGTGGGGTAGAAGAGCTCCCCCGAAGGTTTGGCCTCGCTGAACTCGAACAGCTGCAGGGAAGGGAGGGGAGAGGGGCTGGGAGCACCGGCGGGACGGGAGATCCGCGATCCACTTGAGGCAGAGCTGCCTCAGCCAAGCAGCTCAGACACTTCCCTGGATGGGAATGGGAATGGAGGGGATTTCCCTGGAGCTGGGAAGCTGCCCAGGGACCCTCTGCACCCCCCGAGCAGCCCCCTGCCAGCAGTACCTTGGTGAAAACCACGGCTGTGGAATAGACCACGCTGTCGGGAGGGTCGATCCAGATGGCTCCAGCAGGACTGGGTGACAGCAGCTGGGTCCAGTTGACCCTCAGGGCACTGCTGGGGCTCTTGGTGGCCACCAGGAGCACAGAAGGGGCCCCGATGCTGCTCCACACGTAGTGCAGGGTGTCCTCAGGCCCCACTGCCCGCACGTGCAGCAGGTTCACAGAAGAGCTGTTCCAGCCAGGGTTGTACTCCATGGACACCTGCGGGGCAGGGACAGGGCTGGGGGTGGCTCTGAGCCCTGCAGGACAACCCCAGCGTGACAGGGGGATCGGACATTGCAGCTGCCTCTGCTCCCGTGACTCTGCAGCCCTGGTGTTGCTCAACACACCCAGTCAGCATTTCACAGCTTTGAGCTGCTTCCCATCCGAAAGGCCCTTACCTTCCACAGCCCCTTCCCACCCCAGAGCCCCTTCCCATCCTAATGGCCCTTCCCTTCCACAGCCCCTTCTTTTTCCATCCCACAGCCCCTTTCCACCCCACAGCCCCTTCCCTTCCCTTCCCTTCCCTTCCCTTCCCTTCCCATCCCATCCCACAGCCATGCTGGTCCCACTGCATTAGGACAAAGGGGAGACGAGGGACAGACACAGGTGGCCTTGGGACATGTCCCCGCAGGACAGCGGGTGGCAGGGCAGGGTCACCCAGGACAGAGCAAGGGCTGCCTCAGCTCCAGCCCCACGTGGGAGCCCCTTGTCCCCCCAAACCCCTCAAAGCTGGGCCCCAGCAGGACCGGGGGGTCCAGCCCAGCCCCTGCTCTGGACAGCACCCCCCGAGAACGCAAGCCATCCCAAAAGTTTACATCCCACACACGATCCCAAAAGTTTCTATCCCACAAACCACCCCAAAAGTTTCCATCCCACAAACCATCCCAAAACTTTCCCTTCAGCACGAGCACTAACTTCTTTACCTTGCGGGTGGCAGAGCCGCCCTGGGCGAGCACAGTGTCCCACCCCACCCACCTGGATGTCCCCCGTGTCACCCGCTCTGGGTGACCCGCGTGTCCCCGCTGGACATCCCGAGATCCCCAGCAGGGGACACGGGGGGCGCTCAGCCACCGCCGCAACGCGGGACGAGCTCCGAGCTCCGCACCCGGCCCGGTAGCCCCGGTAGCCCCAGTAGCCCCGGTGGCCCCGGTAGCCCCGAGCCCCGCTCACCTTCCGGCCCCGCTCGGCCCCGGCCGCCGCCAGCAGCGCCAGCAGCGCCAGCACCGCAGCGGCGGCCATGGTGCGACCGGCCCCGGCCACGGCACCGCCCCGGAACGGCCCGGGACCGCCCCGGAACAGCCCCGGTACTGCCCTAGAACCGCCCCGGGACCGCCCAGGAACGGCCCAGGTACCGCCCGGGAACCGCCTCGGGACCGCCCCGGAACAGCCCCGGTACTGCCCAGGTACCGCCCCGGGACCGCCCAGGAACGGCCCAGGAACAGCCCTGGAACGGCCCCGGTACTGCCCTGGAACCGCCCCGGAACAGCCCCGGTAGTGCCCTGGAACCGCCCCGGGACCGCCCCGCGCGGGGAGGAGCCCTCGGCAGCGGCGGGGTGCGGATGGATTCAGGAACCGCCCGGGGTTTGCAGCTCGGCTTCTGCCCCGTGTGCGCTGAGCCCCTCCCGAGCCTGGGCGGCAGAGACTCCCGTGGCCATCATCCCGTGGAGTGGAGACCCCCACTCCTTCATCATCCCATCCAGCAGAGACCCCCCCGTGGCCATCATCCCATGGAGTGGAGACCCCCACTCCTTCATCATCCCATCCAGCAGAGACCCCCATCTCCCTCCCCAGGGTGGCAGAGACCTCCCATGTCCATCATCACTTGGAGACCCCCCCCTTCACTGTCAGGGCAGTGGAGACCCCCACTCTGCCATCATCCCATCCAGCAGAGACCCCCCGTGGCCATCATCCCATGGAGACCCCCACTCCTCCAGACCCCCATGTCCATCATCCCATGGAGACCCCCTCATGTCCCTCATCCCACCCAGCAGAGACCCCCACGCCAATCCAGCAGGACAAGGCAGACCCCTCTTCACCTCGTGGAGCTTCTGAACCTTTGGGGTCTCTGAAGCCTCAGCCTTGGGGTCTCTGGAGCACCCCACACTCCACAGACCCCTCACTGTCACTGCCCCATACTCTGGAGACCCTCAGAGACCCCCACCCTCAACAGAGACCCCCACTTCCATCCCCCAGGAGGGCAGTGGAGACCCCCCTCCTTCCCAATCCCACACAGAGGAAACCCCCCTCCCCATTCCCCAGGGCTCCAGAGACCCCCCAACATCCAGAAACCCCCCCACCTTCACTGCCCCATACTCTGGAGACCCCCAAAATCCCAGAGAGACCCCAGGACACCAAAGACCCCCACCCTGCCCATATTTTTGTTGCCCCCTGAAGTGCAGCCCCTGCGCTCCTGGTGTGGGCAGAGACCCCCCCAGAGCCCCCAGCCCGGGGGGTTTTGTCCTCCCCCACCATAAACAATCACCCAGAAATGATTAATTTATTTAGGGATAAACCTAAATAAACCTGAACCCCAAACCCTGGGAGCTCCTGGGGGAGCCCAACACCTTTCCCACCCCGATCCCTGCTGGCTCTGGGAAGCCACAAGGGTTAAAAATCCCTGGAGGATCGGGGGCACAAAGTGTCCCCCCCATGTCACAGCCCCTGTTTGGGGTGGGGGGTGAAGGGGGGAGAAGCAGAGGTGTCCAACCTGCTGGGTTTTATTGTCCGTGGGGCAGGAGGAAACATCCAGAGCTCCTGGGAAAGGAGATTCCAGGGAGAATTCCACCATTTTGGGCTGGTTTTAGGGATGGCAGGGGAACATTCCAGAGTTTTTGTTGATTTTAGGGAGAACAGGGGGAAATTCCAGAGTTTTTCTTGGTTTTAGGGATGGCAGGGTGACATTCCAGAGTTCTTGCTTTTAGGGATGGCAGGGGAACATTCCAGAGTTTTTGTTGATTTTAGGGATAACAGGGGGAAATTCCAGAGTTTTTCTTGGTTTTAGGGATAACAGGGGAAAATTCCAGAGTTTTTCTTGGTTTTAGGGATGGCAGGGGAATATTCCAGAGCTTTTCTTGATCCTAGGGATGGCAGGGTGACATTCCAGAGCTCTTCTTGGTTCTAGGGATGACAGGGGAAAATTCCAGAGTTTTTCTTGGTTTTAGGGATGGCAGAGGAATATTCCAGAGCTTTTCTTGGTTCGAGGGATGGCAGGAGAAAATTCCAGAGTGTTTTGCTGGTTTTAGGGATGGCGGGGGAACGTTCCAGAGTTTTTTGTTGATTTTAGGGATGGCAGGGGAATATTCCAGAACTTTTCTTGGTTTTAGGGATGGCAGGGGAACATTCTAGAGCTCTTCTTGGTTCTAGGGATGGCAGGGGAACGTTCCAGAGTTTTTCTTGGTTCTAGGGTTGTCAGACAAGCATTCCATTGGTTTTGTTGGGTTTAGGATTTCCAGGGGAGCATCCCACCATTTTTGTCAGTTCTAGGGTCACCACAGGACCATTCCACCGTTTTTGTTGGCTCTAGGGTTTCCAGAGGAACATTTTATAATTTTATTTTTTTAAAATTCCAGGATTGCCAGAGGAGAATTCCACCATTTTTGTCAGTTCCAGGATTTCCAGAAGAGCATCCCACCATTTCTGTGGGTTCTGGGGTCACCACAGGACCATCCCACCATTTTTGCTGGCTCTAGGTTTTCCAGAGGAACATTCCACCACTTTTGCCAGTTCTAGGGTTGCCATGGGATTATTCCATTGTTTTTGTTGGTTCTAGGGTTGCCATGGGATCATCCCACTGGTTTTATTTGTTTCTAAGGTTGCCATGGTAGAATTCCACCCTTTTTGCCAGTTCTGGAGTTGCCAGAGGGGCATTCCACCCTTTTTGCCAGTTCTAGCATTTCCAGTGGACCATTCCACGTTTTTTCGTGGTTCTAGAGACACCAGAGGATAATTCCACCTTTTTTTTTCCAGTTCTTGGGTTCCAGAGGAGCATTTTACCATTTCTGTGGGTTCTGGGGTCACCACAGGATCATTCCACCATTTTTGTTGGCTCTAGGATTTCCAGAGGGGCATTCCACCATTTTTGTCAGTTCTAGGGCTGCCATGGGATCATCCCACTGTTTCTCTTGGCTCTAGGGTTCCCAGGAAAGCATTTAATAATTTTATTTTTTTTAATTCTGCCCTCTGGCAGTTTAAAACCATTTCAGGTGTCTGGGCAGGAAGCACTGAGTTACCCAAATTTACCAAGGTGGACACTCAGATCAGAGACCTACATTTCTTTGGCCACACGTGTGAAAAAAAATGACCCCATTTATCACAGGAAATGCCACCAGAAGGTTCTGACCTGCTTCCCTCCAGCTGGGCCCTGCTGGAGACCACAGAACATCCCTTAGGGAAGAAGGAATCAAAAATGGGATTTACTGAGGGGGAAATGTGGGGTTAAAACACCTGCTTGGAGGAGAAACCAAAGGGAACAAGGGAAGGGACACCTGGAGATCATCTCTGAGGGAAATGGCACTAAAATAAAGAGACACCTGCCTGGAGATCATCTCAGAGGGAAATGGCACCAAAATAAAAGAGACACCTGCCTGGGGATCATCTCAGAGGGAAATGGCACCAAAATAAAAGAGACACCTGCCTGGAGATCATCTCTGAGGGAAATGGCCCTAAAATAAAAGAGACACCTGCCTGGGGATCATCTCTGAGGGAAATGGACCTAAAATAAAGAGACACCTGCCTGGGGATCATCTCTGAGGGAAATGGCACTAAAATAAAGACACCTGCCTGGAGAAGATCTCTGAGGGAAATGGCCTTGCCTGGGGATCATCTCTGAGGGAAATGGACCTGCCTGGAGATCATCTCTGAGGGAAATGGACCTAAAATAAAAGAGACACCTGCCTGGAGATCATCTCTGAGGGAAATGGCCCTAAAATAAAAGAGACACCTGCCTGGGGATCATCTCTGAGGGAAATGGCACCAAAATAAAAGAGACACCTGCCTGGGGATCATCTCTGAGGGAAATGGACCTGCCTGGAGATCATCTCTGAGGGAAATGGCCCTAAAATAAAAGAGACACCTGCCTGGGGATCATCTCTGAGGGAAATGGACCTACCTGGAGATCATCTCTGAGGGAAATGGCCCTAAAAGCAAAGGGACACCTGCCTGGGGATCATCTCTAAGGGAAATGGCCCTAAAATAAAAGAGGCACCTGCCGGGAGATCATCTCTGAGGGAAATGGCACCAAAATAAAAGAGGCACCTGCCTGGGGATCATCTCTGAGGGAAATGGCCCTAAAATAAAAGAGGCACCTGCCTGGGGATCATCTCTGAGGGAAATGGCCCTAAAATAAAAGAGGCACCTGCCGGGAGATCATCTCTGAGGGAAATGGCGCTAAAATAAAAGAGACACCTGCCTGGAGATCATCTCTGCCGGGACTCGAACCCGGAACCTCTGGATTAGAAGTCCAGCGCGCTCGTCCATTGCGCCACAGAGACCTCACCGTGAGGGGAGCGTCGGCTCCAGAACTGAAAAATCCACAGCGCCCGCAGGGTCCGGCGCCCATCGACACCCCCCTGGCACAGCAGCACCTCCAGAGTCCCCTCCCTGCGCGGGGACAGGCAGGAATAATCCCAGGGATGATCCATATCTGGCTCGGCAGCAGGGATGCAGCAAAAAGCTGGATGCAGGCTGGTATCCGCCTCTCTGGCAACCTTTCCGCAGCATCCCCGGCGCTCTGGGCAGAGCTAAATCCTGGAGCAGAGCTCCTCGCTGCATCTCGGCAGCATCACAGCATCCTCTCCTCGCTGCAGAAGGCAAGGGATAAAGATGAAAGAGGATTTAGCTCGGTGGTGAGGGGAGCTCTGCTTGTCGGGGTGGGAAAACGAGGGTTGAGCAGAGGAGTGAAAGGGAAAGCAGCTACCGTGGGTTTCCTTTCAGCAAGCTGTCAATCAGGGGTTTAATGAAGAAACACTGGGGGGGAAAAAATGAAGACAGATGTCAAAACAACAGGAAAGGTCCATTTACAGCCACTGACCTATTAACAATGGATCAAACTCTGGCACGGAGTCGCCGCCGGGAATTTGGAATCCCCGAAAGGAACGAATTTCAGGCTGGGAACGGCACATTTGGAATGGCTGGATGGAACAATTTTCATTTCAAATTATTGTTCTCTCCCAAACACACCCTCACAATGGATCAAACTCTGGCACGGAGTCGCCGCCGGGAATTTGGAATCCCCGAAAGGAACGAATTTCAGGCTGGGAACGGCACACTTGGAATGGCTGGATGGAACAAATTTCAGGCTGTTGTTCTCTCCCAAACACACCCTGGGTTCCTGTGAAAGGAGAGATGTTAAGTGCAGTCCCAAAAGAGGAATTCCCTGACACAGACAGCTTTGGACTCCAGGTCAGTGTGA